ATCAGAATCTCTGGGCAGCTTCCTACCTACAGAGATAGCGGCTCCAGACACGGGGTTTTCTACAAACTCCTCAAGAGATTTTGCTGAGGGGACCCATAGGGTTACAGGACCTGGAGCAGTGACATCCTCCCCCGACCCTGGAGAACTCCCAATGTGGCTTTCCTAAAAACCTCTGCCCCATATGGCTGTCCCCAGAGGCCCTGGCATTCTGGACTCCTCCTTAGAGCCAGGGCCCCAACAATGCTCTCTGTCCTTCCTGCTTCTCCTCTTACTCTCCCCCCGACCCACCACCTGCAGCATCACAGCCACCGCAGCCAGCATCGGGGCAGCTGGCATCCCCCAGGCGGGGCTCGTCACCATGGTCATTGTGCTCACCTCCGTAGGACTGCCCACAGATGACATCACCCTCATCATCGCTGTCGACTGGGCTCTGTGAGTGGAGTTCACCCCCACCCACCCCTACCCCTTGGGCAGCAGGCATTTGGGGTTGGCCAGGGGATTTCTGTGGTTTGGCACAGTGGGGGTGCCTTATGCATAGATACTGGCCTGGCTGCATGATTTGTGGGGCCCAGTTTTCAAAACTGGAAATGTGTGGTCCCCTGTTCAAATATTATAAAGAATTTCAAGAGGCTGAGAGCAGAGCATTAAACTAAGCCTGGGTCCTTCTAAGCACGGGCCCTGTAAGACTTCACAGTCACGAGCCCATGAAGCCAGCCCTCCCACAACCTGTGTCAATATCGCCAAAGGGGTGGCGGGCCAGAAGGGACGGAGAAAGTCCCTTGTTGTGGGCTCTGCCTTGGCAGCCAGTCCCCACAAGTGTTGCTGGAGTGAGCACTGCCCTCTTCCAATTCCCCTTACAAGTGCCCGCCGCTCACCACCCACCTTGGCTCACCAGGGACCGCTTCCGCACCATGATTAATGTGCTGGGTGATGCGCTAGCTGCAGGGATCATGGCCCACATCTGCCGGAAGGACTTTGCTCAGGACACGGGCAACCAGGTAAGAACAGTTCCTTCATCCCGGCCTGGCTGACCAAAGGCCCCCAGCAGATGGAGCCGGGGTGGGGTGTGCACTAGATCTTCTGCCCACCAGCTGGGCAGCCGTCAACCAATCCTTCCAGGCCTCTGGGCCTCAGTGTCCTCATCTGGTACTGGAGTGACTAACTCCTCTAACATCTAGTTGTTGAGCACCCACCATGGCTGGCACTGCCGTAGACACAGGAGGAACACTGGTGAAGAAATAAAGATAAATTCTGCCCTTGAGATGCTGTGTCCCAATATGGGGGTGGCACTCGTCCTGCCACCAGCAATGCAAACATTTGTATATCTGCAAGAGGCTTCATGGTCTTCGGGGCTCCTTCAATAACCATGAGTAGCAGGCTGCCTCACTCCACCAGGAGGATGCTGATGCCCAGGCAGGGGACCCATCTGTTCCCTCACTGAACCCTGTGGGTAAGGTCCCCTCCTCTACTAAGACAGCTGCAAGAGAAGGCAGGACAGCCCAGAGAGGCCCTGTGACCTACCAAGATCCCACACACGTCTGTAGGAAAACCGATCTCGTGATTCCCATCCCTTTGCTTGTTCAGTCCTCCTTAGTGTCTCATCTCAATCCCTCCTGATGCTACTGAGGCCTGTTTCTCTCCCCAGAAACTGCCGCCCTGTGAGACCAAGCCAGTGAGCCTCCAGGAGATTGTGGCAACTCAGCAGAATGGCTGTGTGAAGAGCGTGGCTGAGGCCTCGGAGCTGACCCTGGGCCCCACCTGTCCCCACCATGTCCCCGTCCAAGTGGAGCAGGACAAGGAGCCAGCTGCCGCCAGCCTGGACCACTGCACCATTGAGATCAGTGAACTTGAAACCAATGTCTGAGCCTGCAGATCTGCAGAGGCCAGAGGAGGCCTCCAGCGTTGGGACCAAGAGTAGGATCTCAACTTACTATTTTGCTAAACAGCCGACAGGGGCCAGCCTCATCCATTCTTCCCACCCTTCACAGGCCAGAATTTACTCCACTTGATGGAAAATGGAGTCAGAGAGGGAACCCCAGCCTGAGAGTGGTGGATAGCATCGGCCAGCGCCAGCGGGGACATTTCCACTGTGTTGTCCTATGAAAGAGCAGATTATGGTCTGTACTTTCTGTATGACAGAGTTGAGGCTGAAAACACTTGTTCCAGGTCTCAGAGCAAGCAATGTCAGGGCCAGGACTCTAACTCAAGCCTTTCGAGCCCTGGCCACTCCCTCCTGGAGAAAGGGGCACCTGCAGGGCCGGATGCCAAGAGAGGCTCTGCTCCTCTCCAGGAGCCCTGCAGCCACTACTGCTTTCAATTTGTGAAGACATAACAACAGTGTCCTGCTTCTGCCCTGCTCTGCTTTGTCCTGACCCAGGCCAGCCCTCCGCCCGCCCTGTAACACGTGGCCTCAAACAAACAGCTCTCCCTAAGGACAGGCCCAGCCCAAGGCCAAGGCCTGCTGCCTTCCATGTGCCACAGCCCGTCCTGACTCTCATCCCACCAGTTATCTCTTGCTCATCCGGTGATGGATGGGGATGTCTTTATTACAGCTGCAGGGGCCCTTAGAAACATCCAGGCCAGCCTCCCACTGAACAGGTGGGCCAACCGGAACCCAGAGGCAGGCTTGCCTGGATGCTGCTCAAGTAGCCCAGGAGTCAGGACTCCCCAAATGCCTGTGGGATAAAGTGGAGTTAGGTTTTATATTCCTTTCAGTGTTTGCAAATACAGTAATAACTAAATAAAGGTATTTTGGTTTTTCAAGTCTGTGGGCTTAGCAACCATGTCCTGGCCAGGATTTCTTTACTGGGCTAATATATACGCTGTCGCAGTGCAGACTGGCCTGTCTGGGCAGCCAGAGTATAGACAGGCCTGTCCAGGTGGCCAGAATATAAACAGGCTTGTGTGTGTAGCTAGAGTGTAGACAGGTCTGTCTGGGCTGCCAGTGTGTAAACAGGCCCGCCTGGGCAGCTAGAGTGCAGATGAGTCTGTCCTATTGGCCTGAGTGAGTGCAGGCCTGTCTGAGCTGTCACATGCAGGAGGTGGAGTGCAAACCAGCCTGCCCAGGGGCCCGTCTCAACAGCCACAATGTGGACAGACCACTCTGCCCCTAGCCTGGACTTTGCTCTGCAGGTAGCACCCTGAGATCAGTCCCCACAAAAGGAACAAATTTCCTCAGCCAGCCTGGCTCCTTTTGGTGAATGCTTTGCTTTAAGGAGGGGACATGCCCAAGGACATTTCCAGACTATCTCCATTCTCCTCAGCCCCAGGGTGCTTCCAGGAAGCTCACAGGGCACAGAGACAAACCTTGGCCACATATCCTGTTCTGAGTATACTCTGGGGAGAAGATACAGCTCCCCAAAGAGGTCTTGCACTGTGGAGCCATCAAGACATTGACGCTGAGGGAGGAAATGGGCTTCCCAAGGTCACTCAGAGAATGAGGAGGTCACCTGCCTCCCAGATCCCACTCTTCCCATCCTTCTCCCAGGGCCATCATCTGAGGAGTCTGAGAGGGGCCCTGACCCCCAGGTCCCTGCCCACTGCAAGGCTGGGGGCTATGGGGTCCACCATGGGAGCATCCTTCTTTTGTTAAGGCCTGACCAGCTAGAAGAGGTCAGATGTCAAGATTTGGTCACTCTTACCCTCCTGTGAGGGCTTATTCACCCCTTCCCTGTGTAACGGCTCTAAGGCCCTTTGAGCAGTGGAGTCTACCCCACCACAGGCAGTAATCTACTCTCGACTGGGCTCAGCTTATGCACCTCCAGTAGCTGATCACTACTTTCTGGGCAGCTCATCCAGGGGCAGCTCTGCCTGTCAGAAGCTCTTCTTTGCTCTGAGCCAGGTCCCCCCAACCCCTGCCCGAGCTCTGACACTGTTGGGGGTGGTAGGCACACTGGGCGTGTCTGTCACCTCTTCCCTAGGCAGGCTTGCAGAGACCTGGACCCCCAAGACAGCTCTGCTCCAGTTCCTAGGCCTGCCTCCAGTCCCCCTTCCCAGTCCAGCTGTCCTGCGGGACAGATCCCATCAGTAATGCCCACTCAGTACACAGGCCACCTGCCAGGTGAGCTCTGAACAGCCAAAAGCCAGCAGATCTTTTGCTTGGATGCTCAGCCTCTGGGAGCGTACAGTGAGCTCGCAGGCCATGTGGTGGTCCCGCCCCACCTGCAGGCCCCTGGCCTGCATTGGTGGGCCGCATATGCTTCCAGCCTCCTCACCTGTGATTACACCCTATATCTCTGGACCTCTACCTGTAGGACTACTTTGTGGGCCCTAAGAATTGAGTTCTGCACTGACTCTTGCTGGTCTAAACAGGTGCTGAGGAGCTTGTGTCCTGCCCACCCCGGCCGGGCGCCAGCTCAGCACCTGGCAGGAAGCACATACAGACACAGGCTGCCAGACAGGACTAATGCTTTTATATTAGTTTTTCTGTAACAAGAAAAATCAGCTTTGAGGTTTTCATCATTTTTTTTCTTTAAAAAAAAAATTAAAAACCCAAGGCACCCAAGACTCCTTGCAGGCCCGAAGAACAAAAATGGTGTCTCTTCGGTGGAGTCGGCCCTTCGTCCTCACTTGGCCTAGCCCCTCGAGTTCCGTCACTCCTGCCCAAGGCCCCTGGCAATCTCAGGAGACTTTTCCTCTAGGCTCCATGGGGCTTACCCACCCAAGACGTTCCTGTGGCCGGCCAGGGCATGGCAGAGAGTGACTCCTGAGGGGCAGGGCGGGTAGGGCCAGGGCCGCAGTCCTGAAGGTTCCTGTTCCCAAAGGGAGGGAAAGGAACAAAAGCCAGCTTTTGTAAATTCCAGGGGGCAGCAGGCACCTGGCCACAGAGAGCTTGGAGATAACTGTGTCTTCTCCGGAGGATGGACGGACAGACGGACAGGCAGACGGCGAGCTGTTCTGGCCACTTCTGGCTGGGGCAAGAGCTACTGGTGGCATAGGCTGAGGAGGGCTGTTTCTACATGACGTGTGTGTGTGTGTGTGTGTGTGTGTGTGTGTGTTTCTACATGACGTGTGTGTGTGTGTGTGTGTGTGTGTGTGTGTGTGTGTGTGTGTGTGTCCATGGAGGAGGAAGCAGGAGCCCATGCATGTCCGGGTGGGGTCAGACTCTTCCCTGAGTCTATGTGACTCAGAGAGAGTGATGGTAGTGGTAGGTGTGGGGCAGAGAGTAGATCCCTTTGGAGGGTGATGTGCAACTGGCTGTGTGTGGGTGTGTCGTGGTATCTGCACGTGAAACTGTAGGAAGGGGTGGGGATGGGAGACTGTGTTCAACCCATGTTGGGAGGTGTGTGGGTGCAGTGCTGGGTGTATCTGTGAGTGTGGCAGAGTGGTGGCTCACAGGGCACAGGTACGTGCTACAGAAAGGGGTCCAGTGGTCCATCATCCTGCAGAACGTGTGGGAAAGTCAGGGAGACCAGAGCAGACCCACCAGCCACAACCTGCCTGGAGAAGCTGGATCAGAGCTGGGGGACCCACTTGATGGTGCTCTGGAAGGACCAGGTGACTGTGGGCAGGAGGGTAAGTTGCCGAGCCCAGAGCCAGCAGGAGCCCATTGTTAGGTGCTAATGCTGATGTGGCCAGGCCTGGTGTGGACCGCAGGGCCTTTGGGTCCCCCTGGCCACTCTTGAGGCCTGTCCCAGGACTCCACTCAACTGACCTGACCACGGCCAATGTCCTCAGGCGGGGCAGATTCTCTCCCATCCCAGGACTCCATAGCTCCCGTTGTGAGGTCCATCTCATCCTCACTGAATGGCCAGTCTGTTGCTGACCCCTAGCTCTGTCTGAGGACAATGCCTGGAGAGACGGGGCTCTACCTTCATAGCCCTGGACCCTGGGAGTAAGGGAAGGTGACTCCCAAGCACTGCCCCTAGGCCTGCCCTCCATGCTCGGACAACTGCTCTCAGGCACACTCTTCCCCCAACCTCCCTCTGCCATCCATCCATGGGGTCCTCACATCCCTCAGGCTCCTCTCTGTGCCAGGCCCTACTTCAATTCAACATCCTAACAGTGGCCCAGTGGGCCACACCCTGACCCCGTGACTCCCAGCTTGGCTCACCCCGACAGTCCTTTAACCAAACCTTTCCTGCCTGGCTACTGGCCACCACCGTTTTCCTCTTCAACATCACCCTCCAGTGGCCCTGCCTACCAACTCCTCCTGTCTGCACCTCCTTTCCTTCCCAGCCTAACCCCTGGGATCCATCACTGCACACAGTTCCTTGCCAATACACTCGATTTCCTTGTTCCTTGCCCTCCTGTCCCACACATCTAGCCAAAAATCTAGCCATGGATGGATCCAATTGTCCATCTTTTCCATACCTGCCCCCATCTGCTGAACACCTCCTGAAACACAGAGAAAATAGGGAAGGCATCTGGCTGACATGACTTTATGTCCAGCTACCAAGTCACTAGCCTGTACGTGACCGCAGCTACTCAGTCCTCTGTCCACTCTGCCACAGTGGAAGGAGCACTGACCCTTCTGTCAAAGCCAGTCCCTCCCACTTTTTCCACAGGATCACTACACCCAGCTCTCCTCTCTTATATCTTTAACTCCTCCCTCCACACGAGCCCTTTTCTCCCAGAATTCAAACCAGCTCTAGTCCTTAAAAAAGGCATAATGTGAACTGAGCCTTCCTGAACTTCTCACCCTTTCCCACGACCAACCTCTCTCATCTCTTCATGGCCAAACTTCTTAATAGAGTTGTCTACACTCCCTGGATCCACTCCTTTCCAGATACTTTTTCTACCCCTATCACCTCTGAGACTGCTCCCCACAAGGTCATGGGTGTCCATCTTATGGATAAATGCAGTGGGCCCTTGGCAGAGCTCAGTCCATCAGCTTCTCGGCAGCACTGACACAGCTGATTCTCCCCACCTCTGGAGAAGCCTGTGCATGTATACATAGCATGTATGTATACATAATGTACGTGCACATGTATGTGTGTGCATGTGTGCACATAAGAGCATGTATGTACATAAGGGCCTATGTGCGTGGGGATGTGTTTATGTACTCACATGCCTGCAAGGGTGCACATCTTCTGCATCTGTGAATATGTTTGCATGTGTGCAGTATGTGTTGTGGGTGGGCATGCATGTTTAGACATGTGTGTGAGTGTGCATACATGTGTGTTGTTGCACTGTGTATATGTGTAAGTGCTTGGGTTACATGTAGGTGTAAACACCCTCTGTCCTGGGCTGTCTGTGATTTTCCTACCTCCTTCCCTAGCTGCTCCGTCTTATCCACCTCTGCAGGTTCCCCTCCTACTGGCCATGTCTTCTCACTCTTTCTTCCCAGCTGAGCACTCCCAGCCTCCTGTGGCCTTAGTGACTGTTTCAAGGCTGACAATGCTTGGATCCCCATCTCCAGCCCAGACCCCACTTCTGAACCCCAGACCTATATGTCTAACCCAACCCTAGGCAGCTCCCCTCAAACCCCTCAAACTCAACATCTTTTCTTTTTCTCACCCACCCAGAATTCTGAGCTTGAACTAGAGCCTTGCCTCTTCTTCACTCCATGTCCAGCAGGACTACTCTGGCCCTCGAGTCTGTCCCCCAGCCCGGGTCCCTTTTAGGCCCATCTGCTTGTCTGTATCCTCACCTCCCACACCCATCATCTCTGCCTGGGCCCCTACAGGCCTTCCCTTACACCCT